TCCCTCCCAACACCGCCCGCGCGGCCGCATTCTGGACCAGTTGCAGTCTCCGGATGCTCCCCACAGGGAGCCCCATGTATAGAGCATTACAGTAGTCCAGGCGGGAGGTGAGAGAGGGACTAAAGGAGAGATGCAACTAGTGTTAATCTGGAGGACTCTTGACAACCTGAATGCAAGTAACTGGTCTCCTTGAGGAAAAGGCCTTACTTAGGACTGTTTGCTAGGAGCCATTGAACCATAAACAGCTTCAGGTTACAGTACATCAGGCTTCAGATGACTTATTGGAATTACCAGTAATGATAGTCAAGAATCTTGGCCTTTAAACCATCGCTGTGTTTAGCCTTGGGTAAACTGTCTTGATTGTAGCTTGAGTTGATATTTAACCTCCCTTGGGACTTTATTACAATAAACTGTTTGGTTTTTGCAAGTTAGTTCCTCCCACCAGGAGACACTGAAGCCATAAATCATGGTTAGGAACCATACCTGCTATGTACTCCCTCTACACTAAGCTAAAATCAGCCACATTTGCTCCTGTGGAACAAGTTGACCCCACCTAAGAACCACCTTTTCCCTGCTCAATTTCTGAACTTGTAGTCCATCCTATCACCTTGAGGATAAGCCCTGCCTGGGTCAATAAGTCTCTAAAACTTCCATGGCTCTCTTTCAGGCAGTTGTTGCCAAAATCTTGTCAAATAGATGGCACTGAAAAGGTCATTATTTCAGTTTCTTTGTGACAGCCCATCACAACCCTCTCCCTGAGCATTAAGCCTTTGGAAAAATATCTCTGTTGTCTTTTTTCAAGAAAGGTTGTCATTTCCTACAATTGCTTCTATCACAAAGATTAGCTTTAAAATCTTCTGAGTTCCTTGTTGAACCTGCCAAGTCTTATTACATTAGATTAGAAGCAGCCTTCATCAAAAGGGAATGGAAAAAAATTTATCTTGCCTCTCTCTCTTTCTCTCTCTCTTTTCTAACTATTTCATGATTTCCAAAAACATTAGGAAATTGCAACATCATGTTCCCTGTGCAAAGTGGAACCTGCTGTGGTTGTCCTATATTTTTCATTACTCTTGCATAAGGAATCAATGGAGCATACATAGGGTAACATACCAGGGTAAGGATAGATACGGTAGCCTTAATCCAAAGTTACCAAGAGTAATAACATACTTGCTAACTCTCTAGCCCAGCTCTACCCACAATTCATACTTTTCTACAAACCTAGATAGTTTGGACCCCAATGCAAATTGTGTCTTCCTGTTTGCTGAAGAGAGGAGGCAATTAATTTGCTCCCCAGTTCTTCTCCCATTTTGGTTAAAATCTCAGCCAGAAAAGTTCTGGTTGGCTAATTCTTCCCCAACTATCTAGCCTGAGATTCTAAAATGAAAGCAACTTGCATCCCAATGTACAATTTTGTGGTGGCCATCTATGCTGAAATGCATTCAGTCTTAGCTCCACA